GCCGGGCCAACGCCCGCGGCCCCTCGGTGGGCGGGCGGGTGCGTTGCGGGGCTCCGCGTACCCTCGTGCCTAAGCGCGGGTGTTTCTCTCCCTCAGGGTGGCAAATTCCATCCGAAGAGTGTTCATCGCAGAGGTCCCCATCATAGGTACCGCCTTTTGCTCACCTGTGCTCCCAGTCCCTCGGCCTGCTGTCCCCGATATTCCCAGCGTGTCCCCGTTATTCCCAGCGCGTCCCCTCCGTTGTCCCCTCTGCGCTGCCCTCAGCTCAGCCCAGCCACGTTTAGCCCGTACCAGGTGTTTCCAGATGCTGTCTCTGTGCTCTCCGTAACGTTTTCCATGCCCTCGCGAACTGCTCGGCTTTTCCCCACGGAAATACGTCTCCTCAGCTTGTGACTTTTTCCTCTCTGCAGCCATCGACTGGGTCCAGATAGACGCCAACTCCTCCGTGCTCCATGACGAATTCATTGCACACAGGCTGGGTGAGTGCCAGGCACACAGGGAAGAAGATGAAGATGTGCAGCAAGGCAGAGGTTGTGGGCGAAATCAGTCTGGAGACACTGAAGCACCTATGTCTGGATGCTGCCTGTCCCTCTGCCTGTCTCAGCAGGAGGGTCGATGCTCCTGTGGTCTCACTCCGACAGCCCCCTGATTCCCTTCTTCCCACAGGTCTCATCCCGCTCACCAGCGATGACATCGTGGATAAGATGCAATATTCCAGAGTGAGTCAAGCAAAATGTCCTGGGTGCTTATTTTGATGGTGGTGGGTCTCTGATCTGTTGGGAAGCGCTACTGATTTCTTGCTGGGAGAGGTTTGGTGTAAAGGTCTTGGCCCGTGTCTGTCCCAGGACTGCACGTGTGATGAGTTCTGCCCGGAGTGCTCTGTGGAGTTCACCCTTGATGTCCGGTGCAACGAAGACCAGACTCGTCACGTCACATCCCGCGATCTCATCTCCAACAACCCCCGTGTCATTCCGGTCAGTGCAATCCCTCTGCTTGTCGGTGAGTCCCCTCTCGATGTTCCCGTTGAGGCTGGGCTGACAAACGCATGAGATGTGGACAAAACAAGGTGTTCGAGCATGTTTCACACTTTCACACCTTGCTTAAAACGTGGGAGAGCAAAGCAGGATTATCTGCAGAAACAGCAGTGTGTGCCAGTGCCCTCCTCTTCTTCGCCTTGTTGCACTTTACTTGCTGTCTGCTGGCCCAGCAGTGTGTGCCAGTGCCCTCCTCTTCTTCACCTTGTTGCACTTCACTTGCTGTCTGCTGGCATGTCCAAGCAGTATGGCCTTGTGAAAGCCTCACCCTGCACCCCTCACCTCAAACTCTTGGGACGCTTTAGTGTAGCCCCCGCATCTTGCCTCTAACACTCAGAGCGTGTGCACTCGTGTCCTGCTGCTGTGTCGCTGCCTTCTCCTGCCCGCGTGCTGCTGGGACTCGGGCAAGGTCGGCCTCTTCGAAGGCTTGGCAGCAGCCCAAAGGCCTCTAGTTTTCTGCTTCTTGCCTCTCACCATGGCAAGGTGTGAGGAGGCCAGGCCAGGGCACAATTGCCAGACAGCTCTTGCCCAATCACCTTGGGAAGGGTTGGTGGAGCCAAAGCAGAGCAGATGCAAAGGGACTTAATGGGCAATGTTGTAAAACACCGTTGAGGCTGCATCCAGATGTCACCACGACCTGGGAGCTGCTTCTGGTGGCAGTGCCTGGTTAAAGCCTCGCTGAAGCCCACTATTTCTCTGCTTGCTCTGCAAGCAGGCAGCAGCTCTGGGCTGGAGCCTTCTCCGACCTGTGCAGGACAGCAGGCAGGGAGGCGAGCAGGCTGGTGCAGGGGGATATCATGTACCTGTTTGCATCTGCCTGAATTGTCCCAGTTTCTGTTAGATAGGGTGGGCTGGATTTGTTGTTGTAAGTCACTCTAGAGAGGCTCTCTGCAGTCTCTTATTTTTTGTAGGCAACTGCTGTTTGATGTGGGGAGAAAAGTGGATCTTGCCATTAATTCTCTTGCTTTTGTTCTTCTTCTGCAGGTAACATCTCGGAGCAGAGACAACGACCCCAATGACTACGTGGAGCAGGATGGTGAGTGGCATTTCACTGGGAATAAGAGCGAGAGAAAAGGAATTTTTGTTTCAGGCTTTTGAACTCATTCTTACTTCACTGACTTTGTAACAGTAAGGCAGCTGTAAAGCTGTGAGTTGAGGGACACCAGCGTCACTACATCAGTGGGGCTGGCATTTATTAAAGATTATCTTCAGAACTACAGTCCTGGGTCAGAGGGTACTTCTCTCTCTCCTTGTAAGAGCTTAGGGACAGCAAAGATGCAAAATGCTGTGCTGT